GACCGACCATAAGTTATGGATTTTCACAGTGGGTCCAACACTAAACTAGCAACAAAGTGTTCGGTACGACAAGTACCAGCGTGGCCCGTGCGTACCCCGTCGTACGGTCGAAAGTCGCGCGCCGGACGCGCTTTGTAAGGTGTTATGTGGGATGCCCAGATGTTCTTTTGTGGTGTTCTCTTTGTTGTAACCAAAAATGCTGGTCCGAGTTGATTTATAATGGGCCGGAGCCAGGGGTAATAGTATTATTTATGTGATTTTTTCTCGGATTGGACATTTATTCCCGTCGTGGCGATAATAATAATAAGAATAGATAGATCGATGTCGAGCGATCCTTTTGTCACGATTTACATATTTATCTGCAGATAAGGAACCATTGTTTATTTTTTTCCTACGAGGTTATTAAATGAGTCGTAATCAATATGAGTGTAACTGCCGCTATTACACGAGTTTCGTAATCTTATCGCTCTCCTGAGCCATTTTTAAAACTACCATTACATTATCGAAAAGTCGAAAGAATTGATAACACCAACGAGGTATTGTTTCAACGGTGTTTATTTACCTTTGCGCTGTATTGGTTGGTCACAGGAAATGTGACGTTGCGACATTGCCCATTGTGGGAATTGACGATAATGGAACCTATGCATGATTGTAAAATGATTTCCTTTGTTTATTCGACGACGTTTGGACTCTGTTGTTGTCGGACAGGAAAAAGCCGGTGTTGTGTGGCAATCGAGCCACCTGGGTAACAATGGAACGTCGAGCGCTAATGACAAAAGTGGCGAAGACGTAATGGAATTAACCTTTGGAAAGGGCGAGCCAGGGCGAGCGGTTCGCAGGGGTGCGTCTTGGGACCTCTGCTACGTTTTTTAAAGCGAACAAACAACCTGTGTACTTTCTGTCGATAAGGAGGCAAATATTAGTACGGGTTAATCTGGTTTCGCAAAATCGATAAGTGCGTCAAAACAAACAGCCAAGGAACGGGAAAAAAGTGGTTTTGGGACGAATGTGGGGCAAATTTAAACCATCTGTAAACAGAGAACTTGTTAGAGGCTTAATCGTGATCTCAGGTGCTGGTTGTTCGATCGAACGTTGCGAAGGCCAATTTGTTGCCTTCTGGTTAGTTACTTGCGTGGATTTATGTACAAGTTGTGTAATTTCGTCGTGGAAATTGACAGAAAGTCTCAATTGGGACTCAAATATCAGTGAAGCAATGGATTGGGAAAAAAAATTATCGGTAATCAGTGTTTTAAAATTTACTGGAATAATGCGACAACAGCTTACTAATACTTAGATAAAAATATTTCTCGCAATACAGTTTTCGAAATCATTGATAGAAAAGTGAAGGTGAAAGAATCTAAGTTGTAATTCCCGACGATGGACTTTAAATTTGTACCAAAACGGGTCAACGGTTAGTTGATTTTGAAAGTGAGCATTAGAAATCGAGCGCTGCCATCGCTTTGATGTTAGTGACCCAAAAGGACTGCTATTGTTGAAACAAAAAACCCATTGTTTCGTGATTAAAGTTATATTAATTAAATTCGACTAAATTCTAAAGTACTTGAAAAAATTCATTAAAGAAATTATTGTTAGCTTAGTTGTACTTATTTTATCACAAATCCCTCTAGTAAAATTTTAAACAAAATATCGACTTCTCGGATTCTCGATCTTTTGATTTCTTGGTGTTTCGATTTTCCAATTTTTTGACCTTTCAGTTTTGGAATTTTTCAATTTTTCGATTTTTCATATTTTCAGTTTTTTAAATTTTGGAGTTTGAGATTTCTTAGTTGATTTTTTAGTTTTATATTTTTTACAATTTTTCGAGTTCTTAATTGTAGAGTTTTAATAAATCAGTTTTTCAATTTTTGCGGTTTTGGAAACCTTCAATTTTTCTTTTTTCAATTGTTCCATTTTTTTATTTAATAATTGTACAATTTTTCATTTTTACATTGTAATAAATTTTCCAAGTTTTCAATATTTTAGTTTAAGATTTTATGATTATTTTTCAATTTTTTGATTTCTATATTTTTTGATTTTTTGACTTCCTGTACCTTTGATGTTTCGGTTTCTCGATGTTTCAATTATTCGGTTTTTCGATTTATCAAGCTTTCGTTTTCTCAATTTTTCAACATTTCAATTTTGGAAATTTTCGAATTAATGATTTTTCAATGTTTCGATTTCTAGGATTCGACATTTCGATTTTCCAATTTTTCGATTTTTCAATTTTTCAATTTTTTTTTTAATCTTGGATTTTGCGATTTCCCGATTTTTCGTTTTTTCATTTTTTAGTTCGATTATACGATTTTTTGGTTTCGTTTTCCCGATTTTTGGATTTATAGATTTTTACAAATTTTAAATTTTTCGATATTTCGATTTCGCTATTTCGACTTACCGACTTTATCGACTTTTCGGATTCTCGATCTTCTGATTTCTTGGTGTTTCGATTTTCCAATTTTTCGATGTTTCGATTTGTCAATTTTTCAATTAATTTTTTAACTTTTCAGTTTTGGAATTTTTAAATTTTTCGATTTTTCATTTTTTAATCATTGTTCATTTTCATTTTTACCGTGTAATATATTTTCCAAGTTTTCGATATTTTAGTTTAATTATTTTACGATTTTTCGTTTTTAAATGTATCCGATTTTTCAATTGTTCAATTTACACTTTTTTGATTTTACAACTTTTACAATTTTTGGATGTCCCAATTCGGTTTTTATTAAACAAATTCGACTAAATTCCAAAGTACTTGAAAAAATTCACTAAAGAAATTATTGTTAGCTTAGTTGTTGTACTTATTTTTATCACAAATCCCTCTTGTACAATTGTAAACAAAATATCAATTTTTATTTTCGAAGATAAACTGGTGAATTGTTATTAAATAGAATAGAATTTTCAAAAAAAATCAGCGCTATTTTTTCTATTCCCTTTTTTTAAATCATACTGTATGTGCTTCTATTCATAATCCCCATTTACAGAGTTTTAGTGTTTTGACAGTTATTAACACAAGAACCACAAAAACTTGCTGAAAAAAATTGTATTCGAAGAATCGAAAATTTAAATATACAGGGTCAGTCACTAATTATTAGAAATAGAAAAAAGTCAGAGACTAAAATCGTGCAGTTCTTTGAGCGTAACATAACAAGGTAGTTTTTTCAAACACCGTATACATTTTTATATATATGTAGTTTATTTTTGAAAATCTGATGCGACGTTGCCACGTTATTCTAATGTTCTTGAATTTATTTGACATTGAAAGGGTTCACAATACAAATAGAGTTATTTTTTAAATCTGTGTTACAATATACAAATAAAGTATTCGCTTCCAATTCCTATCCAAAATATAATTTTCCAATTTTTCGATGTTCCGATTTTTCAGCTTTTTGGTTCTTCAAATTTTCGATTTTTCATTTTTTCAGTTTTCTAAATTTTGGATTTTGAAATTTCTTGGTTGATTCTTTAGTTTTATATTTTTACAAATTTTCCAGTTCTCATTGTCCAGTTTTTAATGAAACAGTTTTGCAATTTTTGATTTTGCAATATCAGATTATCCAATTTCTCAATTTTTTAATTTTTCGATTTTTCATTTTTGTATTTAATAATTTTACAATTTTTCATTTTTTTCAATAAATTTTCGAGTTTACAATTATCCAATTTTTAATTAAATTTATTCCACTTTTTAATTATTTTACAATTGCACGTTTTTGAAAAAAAAAAATAGTTTTTTTAAATGTTATTAATCTATGTTACACTTTGATAATTTTTCAATTTTTTACTTTTTTGGTTCTTCGATTTTTCAATTTTTTTCAATTTTCTGAATTTTTAAAGTAGAGATTTTTTTTTGATGATTTGATTTTCTAATTTTTCGATTTTATCCACTTCTATATTTTAGATTTTACTGTTCTACAATTTTTCTTTTTTTTTATATTTTTTGATTTTTTGACTTTCCTTCCCTTTGATGTTTCGATTTCTCGATGTTTCAATTTTGAAAATTTTCAAATTATGGATTTTTCAATGTTTCGATTTCTAGGATTCGACATTTCGATTTTCCAATTTTTCGATTTTTCGGTTCTTCAGTTTGTCAATTTTTTTATAAATCTTGGATTTTGCGATTTCCCGATTTTTCGTTTTTTTCTTTTTTAGTCCGATTATACGATTTTTTCGTTTCAGTTTCCCGATTTTTTGATTTACGGATTTTTCAAATTTTAAATTTTTCGATATATGTATATTTTGATTTCTCTATTTTTCGGTTTTTCGACTTCTCGGATTCTCGAACTTTTGATTTCTTGGTGTTTCGATTTTCCAATTTTTTGACCTTTCAGTTTTGGAATTTTTCAATTTTTCGATTTTTCATATTTTCAGTTTTTTAAATTTTGGAGTTTGAGATTTCTTAGTTGATTTTTTAGTTTTATATTTTTTACAATTTTTCGAGTTCTTAATTGTAGAGTTTTAATAAATCAGTTTTTCAATTTTTGCGGTTTTGGAAACCTTCAATTTTTCTTTTTTCAATTGTTCCATTTTTTTATTTAATAATTGTACAATTTTTCATTTTTACAGTGTAATAAATTTTCCAAGTTTTCGATATTTTAGTTTAATTATTTTACGGTTTTTCGTTTTTAAATGTATCCGATTTTTCAATTGTTCAATTTACACTTTTTTGATTTTTCAACTTTTACAATTTTTGGATGTCCCAATTCGGTTTTTATTAAACAAATTCGACTAAATTCTAAAGTACTTGAAAAAATTCACTAAAGAAATTATTGTTAGCTTAGTTGTTGTACTTATTTTTATCACAAATCCCTCTTGTACAATTGTAAACAAAATATCAATTTTATTTTCGAGGGTAAACTGGTGAATTGTAATTTAATAGAATAGAATTTTCAAAAAAAAATCAGCGCTCTTTTTTCTATTCCATTTTTTAAAATCATACTGTATGTGCTTCCATTCATTTTCCCAGGGCTTCCACAGACTCACTTTTTTCACTATTTCTCACTTTTTCCAAGAATGCTCACTTTTTTTCACTATTTTTGCAATTCACTCACTTTTTTCACTTTTTCTGTGTAAAATCTTTTTAGTTTTTGATTTACAAATTTATTTATTTCTTTTTGTGAAAATGAGAGAAAGGCAATCCGCCGAATGATAGGGATATTAAATAAAAATTTTCATGTGTTTTTCTCGCAAGGTTCAAATTACGCGCCTCGAGCTTGCAGCATTGAAACGAGCCAATCATAATGTCCCTCGTGAACGCAAACGATGCAGTTGGTGTAGTTTTCACAATTCTTTCGTCGGACACGTGCTGTTTATTTACTTTCTGTAGTTTGAAATCAGTTAATAATTTCATACAAGAGCGACAAAAATGAAAAATGAATGATAAAAAGTGCACTGTGAACAATACGTGGTTCGAAAGAACCGATAGCCACGGGTATGTTATTAAAAGGTGGTGCAGGCCAGAAACTAGTGGCGACAGTGCAAGCGAAAGTGTGGTTTGTACGATTTGTTCTACAAGTATCAGTTGTAAACAAAAAGGTACGTTTTCGAGGTGGTTATTGCTTTCTTATTTATAGAAAATATTAATTCTTATTAGGATTTCAAGCTATTACTCAACACGCTAGTACTCAGAAACATTTTAGACAATGCCAAATTAAACTCAATTCAACTCAACTGACTTTGGCAACAGACGAAAATAAAACAAATGAAACGGGAAACGTTGTGTCGTTATCTTTCATTAATAACAATGTTGAAATGGGGAAAAAAGCTGAATTAATCTGGGCTATGTTGAGCATAGTGTGCAACATTTCAGCAGCATCTTCTGATATTATTGCTCCAGCTTTTCACGTGATGTTTCCTGGAGAAATTTCAAGCAATTATACCATGAGTAGGACCAAGTTAGGGTATATAATCTCTGAAGCACTGGGTCCATATTTCCGAAATATGTTTTTAAAAGATGCAGAATCTTCATATTACACCGTTTTATATGACGAAACAGTCAATAACAAAGGCTTGAAAGAATTGCAGCTGAAAATAATTTATTACTCTGAAGTTTATAAAAAGGTAATTTTTGGAATTAGTTAACTGTATTATATTTTATTCTGGTTAATAATAATTGAAGTGTTTTATTTTTAAGGTTTCGGTGAGTCATTTGGAGACTTTTTTTATAACTAAGGCAACAGCTGATATAGTGAAAGATCACATCAAGGAAGCCATTGATAATGCTGGCTTAACCTTCAATCACTTGCTAATGCTAGGTTCTGATGGACCTAACGTAAATAAAAAAATATTTAATTTACTAAATGAAGAACTTAAAGAAGTTAGAGATAGAAAAGGTTTAATTGATCTAGGTAAAGTAAATAAATGTAGCAATGATTAATATACTCATAAAATTTACATATAGGTACTTGCCCAATTCACTGCATACATAACGCCTTTTTGAAAGGAATGGAAACATTTGGCGAGGATGTTAATGATTTTATCATTCTCATATATTATTATTTTAAAAAATATCCAGTGCGATGGCAAGAGTATTCAGAAGTACAGATTTTAAACAAAATACCACAACACCATTTTATTAAACATTGCTCTACAAGATGGTTAACAATTTTAGAAGCAGCAGAGAGAATTATAGAACAGTGGTCTGCTATTAAGTATTATTTTAAAACTTACCTACCAAAGAATAAACGTGATTGTGAAAATAATAAATATAAGAAAATTATGAAATTAATAAATAAGCCAAATTTCAAAGCTGAGATTTTACAAACAATACAGAGTGCTAAGCTTTTTGTAAAGTTCACAGGACATTTTCAAACTGAAGCACCTTTAATTCACATTTTGCATACAGAACTAAAATCTCTAGTGATTGCAATAGCTAGTTTTGTTTGCAAAAATAACAACTGGAACTGTTCTCTTCCGTCAATGTTTAATGAAGATAATTTACTAAATATTAATGATATTGTATTAGATCCAAAAGTCCAGCAAAACGTCACAGGAAATGAGAGAACTGTTCTTGAATTTAAGAAATCAGTTAGACAGCATTACATTACTGCAGCTGAGTATTTGCTGAATAAAAGTCCTTTAATGAATAAAAACCTGAAGTATTTTAAATCCATTGATCCCCAAGTAATAAAAAAAAAATACGCTTTGGAATATTTTTCTAAACTGTGTGAGACATTAAATATTATCATCCCAGGTAACGCTGTAGACGAGTACAGGTTATTAAAATTTGAAACCTTACCAATATTAGAAAAGACTGATAGAATTGACAATTACTGGATAAAATTTTTTGAAAAGGCGGAGAAGAATGTCGAAAAATACAAAAATGTAAAAAGCATTTTTCTAGCAGCATGTTGCTTAAGTCATGGGAATGCTTCCGTGGAAAGGGGATTTAGCCGTTCGAAACTAATACTAACTGAAGAAAAAACCAATATGTCGGTAAGAACTTTAAATGCGAGGCTAACTATCGCAGATGCTTTGAAGCATTTCGACAATAAACCAGAGACTGTTCCTATAACAAACGAACTCCTCCTTCTAGCAGGTCAAGCTAGAAGACATTATCAAGATTATTTGGACGCGGAAAAACTGAAAGAAAAGGAGCGGATCCAGCAAAAAGAAAAAGAAAAAGCCGAAAAAAGATTAGCTGCTGAACAACAGGCGCTTGTAAAAGAATCGAAAAAGACTTTACAAGAAATAGATGAAACGATGGTACAGGAAAAAGAAATTAAAACTCAAAAGGAAAAATCTGCCGATAAGTTGTTAGAAGAGGGTAATGTTAGACTAAAAGCTGCGTTGGCGGCAAATAACACCATGGAAGCACGAATTGCGCAGGCCCTTATTGACGGAGCCTTGTCCTTAAGAGAAGAAGAACGAGAAAGTGAAAAAAAACTCTCAATTTTAGAAAAAAGGAAAAGTACAATTGTTTCCAACCTTTTTAAGAAAAAAATCAAAACGTCTTCTTGAAGAAATTCAAGAGAAAATTTATGTCGTTTTTTTTTAATTCAAAAAACTTTTTTTGTTTTGATAATAAAATAATCAAAACTTCATACTTTTTATTTTTGTTATATTTGTGAGAAGATTTACGTTTTGTTTTTTTCATATAATACAATTTTTATTTGAATTATAACACTCACTTTTTTTCACTATTTTCCCAGCCGAACTCACTTTTTTCACTTTTTTTAACACAAAATCTGTGTGGAAGCCCTGTTTTCCCCGTTTACAGAGTTTTAGTGTTTTGACAGTTATTAACACAAGAACCACAAAAACTTGCTGAAAAAAATTGTATTCGAAGAATCGAAAATTTAAATATACAGGGTCAGTCACTAATTATTAGAAATAGAAAAAAGTCAGAGACTAAAATCGTGCAGTTCTTTGAGCGTAACATAACAAGGTAGTTTTTTCAAACACCGTATACATTTTTACATATATGTAGTTTATTTTTGAAATTCTGATGCGACGTTGCCACGTTATTCTAATTTTTTTGAATTTATCTATCAATGAAAGGGTTCACAAAACAAACAGTTATTTTTTAAATCTGTGTTACAATATTTTGTGAAGATAAAGTATTCGCTTTGTTGTACTGTAAAAATAAAGTTGAGTCTTAATGTACCGGGTGTTTATATAAAATATATGTATTATTATAATTTTCAAATTTCAATATTTCAGATTTTTCAAATAGAACATCTTGAAAGAAAGAGAACCCTAAACTAAATAAAGTAAGGTGCAATTATAAAATACAGGTGTTCCATCTAAAAAAAAACAACTATTGATATTTGAAAATTATAATGTTTTATGTTTTTTATGAACACCTTGTGTATTAAAATTGTATTTAGTTGATGCTACACCAAAACGCGTACTTCTGTTTATCTCTCCCTAAAATATTGAACACAGGTCTTAAAATTAACATAATTGGGATTTTTTGTGAACTCTTGAATGACTAAAAATCAAGAAAATTGGAATAACGTGGCAACGTCGCATCGAAATGTAAAAAACAGACTATGGTTTTAAAACTTAGGAAGGGGCTAATGAGTATATGTCAAAACATATAGGCTCTTCTGAAAAAAAATTGGTCTAAAGAGTTTAGACAGTACATTCGGTTTTGCAGTTCTTGATTAAATCAATAAAATAAATTTGCGCATTCATTAAATTTTTTGAGTCACCCTGTATATCCAAATCCAAAAAATATGAATGTAATGATAAATTAGAAGAAGAGACTCATCATATTTCGTACATTTTAGATCGGATTATTCGGCAAAATTTTGAGCTGACGTCATCAATTTTTAGGAGGGGATAAGCAAATATATTTTTACTAAAAATTTATTATGCTCTTTAGAACCTTAAAACATTTGCAAGATTTCAAAGCATTCGGTTCTGTAGTTCCGGATTAAATCAATAAAATAAACTTACCTATTCATTAATTTTTTGGGTCACCCTGTATCTGCAAATCCAAAAAATATTAATGGAATGATAAATCGCAAGTACAAACTCATCGTATTTTGTACATTTTAGATAGGATTTATTCGGCAAACTTTTCAGCTGACGTTATCAATTTTTTGGAAGGGATAAGTTAATATATTTTGATTAAAAATGTATCATGCTTATCATAACTGTAAACCATCTGCAAGATTTCAAAGTATTCAGTTTTGCAGATTCAAAATTAAATTGCAAAATGTTTTATAATTCTGATTTTTTCCAAAAATCTGGACGTTTTGGGTAAAAACTCAATTCGGTGTCATAAACTACATGTGTAGGACTATGTTATTTTATACAATTTAAAACCAATTTACTATGTACAATTTTGAAGTGACGTCATGGCATTAGTGGTGGCGATAGTTAGACAGGATAAGTACAAAATTTCACAACAATCGGTCGAGTACTTTCGGAGATTATCTGTCTAATAAAAATCCGGGACGGCAGACAGACGGACAGACGGACAGACAGACAGACGGACAGACAGACGGAAACGTAAAAGTAGAGAGTCGGCCGACGGAAGTAAAAGTCGAGAAATTGAAAAATTGAGACATCGAGAAATCAAAACGTCGAAAGACCGAGAAATCCAGAAGTCGAGAACTCCAAAAATCGAAAAATTTGATAAATTAACAACTGAAAGATTTAAATTTCCAAAAATCGATCAATCGAATAACTCGAAATATCAAAAATTGAAAAATAAATTTTAAAATTTGATAAATTTAAAAATCTAAGAACTGAAAAATCGAAAAAATGAAAAATCGCAAAATCGAGAAACTGAAAAATTGAGAAATCGAGAAGTCAAAACATCAAAAAAGTGAAAAAACAAAAACTTATAAAATTTAAAAAATTGAAAAATAGAAATATCAAAAAACTAGGAAAATCGAAAAATTGAAGAACTGAAAAACTGAAAAATGGAGAAACTGAAAAATCTCAAAACTGAAATGTTGAAAAATCAGTAAATGGAAAAGTCGAAAAAAATCCAAAACCGAGAAATTAAAATTGTTAAATTTTTCAATTTCGAAAAATCAACTTTTAAAATTTGAAAAATTGATAAACCGAAAAAATCTAAACGCGAGAAGTCGAAAAATCGAAAGATCGGGTAATCAAGACAACAAAAAAGTGAAAAATCTAAAATTTAAAAATTCAAAGAACTTAAAAATAGAAAATTTGACATAATTGAAAAATCAAAATATCAAAAATTTGAAAAATCGAAATATTGAAAAATTCCAAAACTGAAACGTCTAAAACGAAAAATCGAAAAAGTAAAAATTAAAGAATCGAAGTCAAGAATTGAAAAATCGAAATAGTGAAAAACCCCAATGAAAAAAAAAAAGTGTACAACTTTAGTCTTTTTGTCGATTTCGAATAATTAATGAGCCAGTTGAAAAAATATCTCAGGTTAATAATGACTTTGGGTGTTTTTGAACTATTTTCATTTAATAGAAGTGTATAAGTACAAACATTTCAATTTATTTAATTCACCTTGTAGTATCGATATTTTCCAGAATGTGAAAAGTAGGTCCATCGTTTCCTTTGTCTGGCATTTCTTGGGGATTTTATTAGATTCCTAAACAGCTGATTGTTATGAAATTGAAGATATATTTTAACAATGTCGTGTTTTAATAAATTTAATAACTTGATCATCCCCACCAAAAATTTGATGACGTCATCTAAGAATTTTATTAAGAAAATCTCGCTTCAGACTTGCGCATATTACACTCTTTGGTTTTAATAACCCAGGACTAATTTTATGATAACTTCTTAAATTAAAATTCGCCTGGTAAATTTCATAATGCGTCTAATAATTTGGACTCGTTTAAGCGGTTGTGCTATATGATAAAAAAAAGTTGTCGAGCAGACCGTGAAATTGATTTTTAAAATGTAGGCATTACAGTTATTTGACCATAATTGCTAACGTGATTATTCTAAACATAAATTTCATGGCTTACTGAAAGACTTTTTTGCTTAACCATGCGGGAGAATTTTGATCTAAATTCAATGTTTCTAGGTTTTTTTTTTCGATAAAGAAATATTGTAAATTTGCTGTTTTTCTAGTAGAATCAATAATACATCCTATAATTTCAAATTTAATTCAAATACAGAATCTACCACCTCTTGAATTCAGTCAAAAAAAATTATTCCAAGATTGGCACTACAAAGTTTCAATTGTCAACTTGAAGTTTAAAAATGGAAAAAACTGTCTATGAAAATGAAACGAGACTAAAAATGACACTGGAAAAGTTGCTAGCTGTATTTTCGTAAAAATTGGGGTGTTGGCGGATTTTAATTTTGAAATAACATATAGCAAAAATACAGTGGAACTTATTGATAGTGAATATTCTTTCTTAAGAAATTCTCTTTTTTCTTCTATATTTACTTATTTCTTTACTAGCTTTGCAAATTTGTCAAATTTTATTAATAATAATAGTAATAATATTAACAGTAATAATTTATTTCCTACGCCCGTACAGTGTGATATTTTCTCCCATCTTCATTTTTGAAGTTGAAGTATATGATTTCATAATAACTGCATATAGATTATTTTCTGTTTTGAACACCAGTGTACATTTTAATAAAAAAACTATGAAAGTTTTGTTATTTTGGTGTCCTCCTAAAACAGACATGCCACGAATAGTCACCGTTCCGTTCGTCATTCTCAGAAAAAATAACATTTTTTGTCATTTAGGTCGAGTCACTTTAAAAATATCAATCAGCAACAATCGAGCAATCCTGCCATTATCACTAATAGGAGCTAATGGTCTTGACGATATCGTGTTAGAACGACGACATACTCCTAATAAGGATATTTTTATATATAGAAACTTGGAAAGGAACAAATATTGCTTTCTAGGGTGAAGCAAACAAATGCAGTTGTTAAAGTTAGCAACAGTGATTACGACTAGCTATAAAAGCATATTTGGTGTGGACTCATTTAGTCATTAAATAAAATGGTTGCGATTTAGACATCACACTAACTTTTATTACTATTATTATTTATAAACAATAACCCGTGCGTTATATTTGGTCCACCGTTCGCACCGCATTCCGGTCGAATCGTCCACCCGTGACGTCATTCCATAAAATCCACCTTGCCCACTCGAGCGCACTCTGTACATGACCCACGTGTCCATAAATTCCCGATTTAATCCAAAACCGAAAATCCCAAACTCCTCCATTGTCCTCCGCCCGTAAATCGCCTAATTTACGACGCGTTCCGAAATCGGCCTCCCGTCCTATATATAGTGTGGACTATCTCGCCGCCGGTGTCACCAAATTAAACGTCCCGCATGTCGAACACGCTGTTCGGCGACTTTTCTCGATCCATCTCTTTCTCCGGTCGAGGGGCGAGCGGCCGGAGGCGGCGCACCGCACCGCAGCAGCCGTAACAATAGTCCTCCCCCCACTAAAGTGTCTGAGTCAAACGTCGACTGCTACTCGCTTGTTTTTTCACAGCCCGCTATAACAACCTGTAATCTGTGGCCGGAGACCTCAGTTATGCTGCGTGCGATGGAGTGCGCGGTGCGGTCACGAGCGTCGATCGCGCGCCAAGCCAACTGCGATCTGTTACACGGACGACGGTGGCTTTCTATGATGTGATTCGATCGCTGCAAGGACAACGTGCGATCCGCCCACGCGAAACCCGACGTTCTGTCTGTCTGTGATATCCCGGTTGTTGCGATCGTGCGGCGGGGATGTGATTGAGGAAGTGCTCCGAAACGTGGAATATGTCGAGGAGGAGGAACAGGAACATGAGGGCCAGAAAACAGAACGGTACGAGACGTTTCTCTTGACTTGATCTAGAGCGCGACCTACTGAGACCGGCGTTGCGCCGATTTCGTCGGTTTGGACCCGGGTGGACACGCGAGACGGGGAGTCTCACGGGGTTCGGGACCTAAATCATTTGTTGTCTTGACACTTAATTAACTACGCCGTCACCCATCAGCTGGAGGAACAAAAAATAAAGGAGCGTTCGGGTGGCGGAGACGAGGAGAAGAGAAGGCGAGATGTGTGATCGGGTCGATTTGATGTATGGGGTTTTTATGTGTTACCTGGCGCCTCTTGTAACGAGATCGATTCGGGTGAAGAGCGGGCCGCGAATGTGGGGTTTCGGGCCTGGATGTCGGTCAATATCGTCAAAATTGTGTTATGGTTTATTACGCGTAATGTTATCATCGTTCTTAACAAATTAGCGTTTTATTTGCATTCTTCGAGATAACGGACGGACTCGTGGACATTTTTACAAAATACGCGGGTTTGATGTTACTGGAGATTGTGACGTTCGCGGTTGTTGTACGGTGGCTAAACGAACACCTGTAAGTTTTTGTGGATAGTTGATTTTTTAATCGTTGGGTGTATTTTTGGAGTGATAGTACAGGCAAGGTCACAAATAATAAGTAAGCACAATTTGTATAATTTTGTTGATGCTGCGGTTGTAAGATAGAGTATCTCGAGTTTATTCTTATCAGAAATTTAAGATAAAACAAGGTTTAGGGAAAATTACGAAACGCAAAAAGTGAAATTCTTCTTTTTGGGTGTCAGTCTTCCTGTGACGGTAAAATTTTTCTAACCAAGAGTGAACTGATATTTAAGCAATGTTTCCACATTCTTTTATCAAATTTCTGCATTGCATTTCCTGAAGTATCATTTACAGTAACTAACAAAGCTATATAATTTAAGAACGGATTGATAAGCACAAAATTTCTTGAAATATGCACCTTTTTTGCTAAATATGCAGTTTTACCGTCTTTCGATATCAACAGATGTTCTCTTTTCAAAATTCTCAAATCAAATTTTTTATTTGTTTGGTAAAAATTGTGGCGCAAGCATCAGAAGTTTCGTTCACTGCAAAATATATAAATTGTTCTTTTAGTTCTTTAATACTCGAAAGAGTGTCATTCTAAAGATCCGATATATAATTTTCCGCAGGGTACTTTCATCGAGAAAAAAATTTGACAATCTTTTTTGTAAAAGTTACATAATTCGTGCTTTCAAGTCGTCCAAATTATCGGGTCTGTTCACGTAAATACGACTTTTTAAATGTCCCCATAAAAAAATCAAGGGGTGTCAGATCCGGAGACCCAGGTGGTCCACACGTTCCAATTCACATTCCATCAAATTGATTATCCAAAAAAACGCTTACATTTACACCATAATGTGATCTGCGATCTAAATTCTATGGATTATCTGTATCACGAAATGTAGCAATTAAATCCAGAAGTATTGCGGTTCTAAGATGATCTAAATATCGATCTGCTGGTAAATTTCCGTGAAAAAAAGTAAGGGCAAATGAATCTTCTGTTTATTATTTCCACCCAAACATTAATTTTTTGGGGACGTTGGGTGTGCTGCTTGAACCAAATGAGGTTGTTCTAGAGCCCAGTAGCGACAGTTGTGTCGATTTACGGTACCATTTAAGTAAAATGTTGCTTCATCCGACAGTGCGACACTATTTAAAAAAATGGGATTGTCGTCACCATGTCTCGTGAAGCTTTCACAAAGTTCCAGTCGTCTGTCAGGATCATCTGATAATTTCATGGATGAGTTGAACTTTAATGGATGCAGTTTCTTTTCTTTTTTTTTAAACTTTACCACAAACGACTGGGTAATATTTTCTTCTAAAGCCATTTCCGTCGTTGTTGCATGGAGGTTGTCTTCCAATGATAACAAGAGGTTCAACTTGGTGTTATCATTTATTTGTGGTCTTCCACATTTGGGAACATCTTACAAGTCACAAACTACCGGATTACATACAGCCAAGAAGTATTCTCTACTTTTAAACAAACCTAAGAAACTGACAAAAACGATTCTATTTGACACATTTTTGTCATTAATTTTCTCAATTTAAAAAAGAATAATTCAAAAATATACTAAAACATTTGTTTGTCATATTAAAAATACGGGATATGCAAATTGCATATAATCGTCTGTCTCTAATAGTGAATTAATGAATTTAAGATGAAGTACAATGCTGTAATTTAAAACGCGAAACATAAAACCGATCATAAATTTAGTGTGAACCGTCAAAACAATTCTAAAGCGTTTTAGTCATTGGTCAAGGAACTTTACCAAAAATATAAATAAAGTGACAATGACGCTTTAAAATCTGAAAAATGTTTTGGTGTGTCTTATTACCAAATTGTTCAATGTTTCTGTAATACGGTGTGTTTTCTCGAGTTTAATAAATACAGATGTGAGGTCAAAAAAATTGGAAATATCGATTCTGAATTATACCGGGTGTCTAGAAATTTATTTTCGGGTAAATTTAAAGGACTCTGGTGTTTTGTTGCTCGATGAACTTGAAAAAATCTTTTGAGCTTTTAGTGTTTTATTTTTTATGAATTTGAAAATTTTGAGTGCCGCAGTGTATTTTTTTTTTATTCTGGAAACTCTTGGGTACCCAGCGACCGAAAAACCGGGAAAACTTGGAAATGTCAGGGAAAACCTGGAAGAGTCAGGGAAAAGCCGAAAAAGTCCTAGTGAATTTTCGCTTGTAGATAAATTTGATATTTAATTTTTTTTTTCCTTAGCGACTAGAATATTCTGAGAGAAGAATTGTTGTTCATAGTTTCTGTATTAAGTCTGCTTCTTAGATCAGTCTTCATCAAATTTCTTTTAGACGAAAATAGTTCACAGGCGGCATTGACTGGGGAAAGCTTATTTAATTAATTATTTTATTGCATTATTTTTTATTAGACGAGTGTAAATTTCTTTGTAAATTTAAGCATAATAAAGCATATTATATTATTAGAACAATAAGAACAAATTTTGATAGATTAACATACAAATTGGCTCTTATGAAACCCTCAGGTTCAGAATAAATCAATCTCTTTAATATTTTTTGTCTTCAGGAAAAATTACAAATTTCTTGCAAATATAAGCTATATTTTGAATTAATATGTTGTAAATCCATATTATTAGTATAGTTTTGGAAATTTCCTTGTACCCTATAAAATTTTATTAACAATAACGAGACCGATAGTAGTACAATAGCAAGAGATATTTACAACTTAAGTTGTCGCGTGCCGGTAATCCCCAGATGTTAGAAAGCAGAATAATCCAGGTCCGGACAGGGCCCATCGTTACTCATGAACGAAAATTACCATTATTTTATGAGTACAACTACCTGCTAATGATCACAGACAAATTGGAGTGAACTGGTGTGAGGCATAAATATTTCCTACCATTATACCACTGTGCGTCTCGTTATCGTCAATAAAATTTTATAGGGTAGAATGAAATTTCCAAAACTATAATTCTAGGCAGATTTTGAAAGAACTCAAATAAAGAATTTGGTAAAGGCAAATTCTTCCAGCATGGTTGATAAACATTTATAAAGAGGGACTGGCAGGGTTGGAAAAAAATCGGATTTTAAAGAAACCAAAAATCAATGATTTTTTTTTGTTTTGTTTTTTTATTTTTCTTTATTTTTTTTAGTTTTTCGGTTACCCACAATAATTCAAATTTTAAAAGTAGTAAGAAAAAAAAATCAATCAAAAGTTATGTGTTAAGCAAATGTAAATTGCAGCTGACGAAAAAATACTATAAATTCCAAGAGTCTGGTGCTTTTAATTTTGGGAAAGTGTCGTAAAAGCATGGTCAGTTTCTTTTTCCGAAAGCTTGAAACGGTCCGGTCTGCACCCATTGTTGCAAAATACGCACATTCTTTGTAGTAACAACTTAGAGCCGCAGTGAAAGACATAAACGTAAACGTCCCAGATGTCTTTTTTGCTATTGTTCTATGACACTGCCAAAGTTAAAATAATCGGACTGTACTTGTAAATTGCGGCGGTACGCAGGTAGTACCCATATTGAATTAAATTGCTTTTCAAAGACTAACATGCATTGTATGTTCGTAATTCAAAAAGAAATTTTAAAAAAGTCAAGAATGATTTAAATCAGGCCAACCCTGAGCTGGAGTGTCCTGATTCGCAGTCTGAAGATCTTCATTCTTAAAAACAAAGCTCTAACAATCCCAAGAAACTCGATGTTACTTTCCCATTCCAAATATACCAAATACAAACACACATGGTCTTTGCGAATCCTCGATTTGTTGATTCATCTATCAATTTGCTAAATTTAACTTTTTCTGAAATTTCTTCTTGCGTTTGTCCAACTACATATTTTGTTATTGTCATGTTTACATTTTGAATGACTGGATTTTTCAAGCCATTAACATAAATAATCCATAGCGTAGAAGGCTAATTTGTGTTCAGCAAAAAAATCAAAACGCCAATTATCACTTTCTTAGCCTGATTGTTATTTACTTATTATCTTAGTCTCAGGTCTAATCTGTCTTCTAGAACCTGGATGATTCTGTATCACTTGTACTTATTCTATTTGGTTGTTTTAAAATTAACATCAACAAGAATACCATATTTCAGAAATGCAAGACTTCCTAGGGAACCACTGTATTAAAAGCAACTATTAGTGCGTTTCTGACAAGTAAAATGCAACCTGGAAATTTCTGGAAAAATAACTGAAAAACGTGGAAAAGTCAGGAAATTTGACTATAACAAATCGCTGGGAACCCTGGCATGGTGTTATTTTGGGGGACTTTGGGGTTCTATTTTTGGAAAATTCTGACCTGTTGAGTTCATTTTGGTTTTTTTTTTTTTTTGAAAAATTTAAAACAGTCTGGAAGCTCTTGGTATTCCTGCTTGGAAACCATGATAAAATAAATACAAGGTATGATATTGCCAAACGACGAACTTGCAAAGAAAAATCAAGCTATGAAAAGAATTTTCACTCCAAGACAAATCATCGAAAAATTG